TGAATAAATGTGTCTGTGTTGTTCACATATTGCCTTGGGTTGAACTTGAAGTCAGGGGGATAGGGGAGAAATAGTAGAAACATAAAGCAGGATGAAGGATGGCAAAAAATTACACACAGATATAAACGCATAACTTTAAGCTGTCACTATCAGATGGAAACATTGTAGCTTTAAAATTGGTGATTTAATGCTTTTGGATCTTGCTCTGCACAAAGTTTCTCTCGATGTCTTTGACTTATACTCATACAAGCTTTAAAAATAATAATTAGATAATGTTAAAATGATTCAGGCTTGAAGTTTGGCTGTTTAGTTTGTCCATGAAAAGATGTCAAAGATCTGTCAACAGCAAAATTCTACTTCCTGCTGCTTGTTATTTTTTATATTCTTGTTAAACGTGTAAGCTATACATGTACATTTTTGTCTGACACTGTGGCAAAAGACAATGAACACTTTTGCACAGATAAGACATCTGTTAACTATGCTGTTGTGAGCTGTGATAAAAGAGTAAAAGGAGCAAAAAGAGCAGCAGATCTTAAACAACAATTTTCTAAAGTGGGCTGAAATTTTTCAGTAGAAACTCCTTGTGGAGTATTTCACAGCACACAAGCCATCTAGTGGTAAGAGGTATTGCAAAGGTCATTAAAAAACCTTCAGACTACAACGCTCGTGGATGTGATGACAGGGACTTATTTTGTTCTGGCTTGTCTTACTTTGAGATTATGTTTACTGAGAACAAGACCTGCTTTTGAATGGAAGTATGGTCACGTGAGCACATAAGCCTGCAGAAATATATTTGTATATCAAGGTCAAAGGTCAAAGTGTTTATTTGTCATATGCACAGTTAGGAAACGTGTTTCCCTGTACAATGAAATTCTTACTTTGCCATCTATATGAATGCCACAAAATACAAGTGAAATATATGGAAATACTATAGTGAGTCTACGTGTAAATTTGCTGGTGGACAGTTGTGGTAATGCTATAGTATAAGGGAGCAGTGTGTGGACTGAACATCAGGCTACAAATGGTTGGATAAATGAAAAGAGAGAGCGAAAGAAAGGCAGCCGTTCATTTTGATGGTTATTGATGTCATGTATAATTCCTCTCCTTTACAAATCAGAACTCCAACCACTTGATAAGCCGATGAGCTTTTAATATTATTGATTAATCTCTTCAGTTTAAAGAGCCTATTACAAAGGTAAATTGCTGTGTACACCTATTTAGTCACACCTCTGTGGCGAATTTACTTTTGTTGTGCAGTGAATGGCCAAGGGAACACAGCAGGGTAAAGGTCATCTCAGCTCCTGACTGATTTATTCTTTTTTAAACTTCAACTACAAAACTATGATGGCATATTTGTACTATTAGTTTAGTACTGATAGTTCTCTTAAAGCTACAGTATGTAACTTAAGGTAGCGTTAGCATGAATCTCCAAATCAATCCACTCTGCTCCACCCTGCACTGCCTCTCCCTGCTCCATTACGCTCTACTACACTTTACTACGCTCCACCACGCTCTGCCCAGCTCTTCAGATATTTGTCATTATGAAATTGCAATAAATGAGAATGCAGCAAAACTTACTGATCAGGCAGAAATAATTGAAAATCCCAGATTGGTTGGAGGTCTATTCCACTCTAAACCTTTTAGAAGCTGATATTTCTGCACTGCTGTTCAATGAGTCTGGGTCACTGGAGGCTTCAACAGCTCCTCTCCACATTAAGTGTTTAAGTTTTGGAGCAGATTTCTACAACAAAAATATTTGACAAAAGTTACATACTGTAGCTTTAAATACATTGATGCTAAAGTGATAAAGTTAGAATCACTTCTGCTGTGTGTGCTGAATAAGTGCAGGTGAGCGCCTCAGAAGAGATGTTAAATATCTTCATAAAGTGAGGATCAAGTCAGATGCCGTTTTGTTCAACATTCCTTCACATGGTGGAGCGGAGGAGTGAACAACTGTGCTTCTGTTTCCGCTGGAATTAAGATTACTCTGATTGGCTCTCCCCTTGATCTCGCTCGCACTACGTCGGAGGATATTTACATAAAGCTGAACATTCCTCAGCCGTCCTCTGTAGTGTGGTGGTTTTTGAATTTGTTGAGCTCTGCGGGGGACTCTGGGCTGCAAAGCTAAATCTCATTCAGAACAAATCACAGCTGTGACTGGCCCAGCCTTGAACACACCTTAATCCTGCAGTGAGTGCATCACAGTGCACACTCGCTCATTATAGCTTCAAAGTCTCAGAAGACACTAAAGACAAAGGTGTTTTTGCTCATGTGCAAACGTGAATTAGATCACAAGAACATAGATGAGGAAGAGAAGTAGGCTGGGGAATGATTACGGGTGACTGTTACCTCAGCTGGCACTCAATTCACTAAATGATCACAGTCGAAAGGCATCATGAAGGCGGTGTATGTAGCTCATGTATACATGATTTTAACGTACCTGCTGTTTCTAACATGAAACTACTCCATTCTGTAGACTAGTGATTAGACTTCCTATAAATTTGTGTCACAGAAAGAGAGGAAATGTGTTCTCTACAGTGATTAGTCAATCGACAGCAAATTAATCAGCAGCCATTTTAATATTTGGATAATTGTTTCAGTCCTTTTTAAGCCAAATTTCCAAACATATCCTGGATCCAGCTTCTCAAATGTAAGAATTTTAATGCCTTTCTTTGTCAAGCATGATTTAAACTGACTCTTTGTGGATGTTGGAAAGTTGATATATACATTTTATGGACCAAACAGTCAGTTAATGGAGAAAATAATTGGCTGATTAATTGATAATGATTAGTTATGTAATTAGATGAAGCCCTAGTGTTTTCCAGAGTCTTTTATGCGTTTGACCAACAGTGTTTGTTTTCCTCCTTCTTGTACTTCCTGTACCACATGTAGTGGGTAGGTATCAGTGTCTTGGGTGTCAGATCCCTGTCCTGGCCTCTCTGACAACCACACCTCTTGCATATGGTTAGCACACACACACACACACACAGTAGATACATTGTTTTTCCCATTGAAAATAAAAAAATTTTATTGTGACATACTAGTAAGGAAAAAGAAAATGTTAGATAACTAAACTAGGCAAGAAAAAGCATAGACAGTAGTACTAAGTTCATGGTGTGCCGCCCAAAATAAAATGCAAAATGTATGGTAAATAGTGACTTCACTAGAACATAATTCAGAAAAAGTGGATGTATTTGCTGCATAATTATGGCAATTTATTGCATAGCTCATTAAAACTAAAATTAACGTGATTACTCCTGTGGCCTAAACACTTTTATTCAAATCCTAAATCAGTACAAGCAAGCGTTTGAAAGCCTGGCTTCTGGAATTATGGTAAAGTAATTTATCATCAAATAATGTCCCCTGACATCAATATCAAAAAGACAACTTATTATCTATCATCTGCAATACTCTTCTCCTCATTGTGTCTCTCATTTGGCACGGCATAGTGGTGGGGAACACACCCCTGACACAAAGCGTTGCCCGGAGGGTCGTGGAAGATTATTGAATTTCATAGCTACTTACAGGCTAATAGGGCCGTACCATGACTGCTTACTGTCCTTAAGTGACTGGCTGCTTTTGCTCAGCCGTGGCCTCTTTGAAGCCTTTCGGAGGAGATCTAGAGGATTTAGCCAGTAGCGTGACATGAAGCTGAGCGGTTGAGCAATGGTGCTCCCACCAGCTGACTATTAGAACCAGCTGATAAAAGCGCAGAGGCTATGACTATGGGAGCCACAGTACTCCAGTGGTTACTAATGCGAGGCTTTCTGACACTTTAGGTGTGTCAGGGCAAACACCGAGATTAAATGATGAAAGTTTTTTAAAGCTGAAACAGCTGCTCTTTGACTAAATTAATTTGCAAACTGATAATTAGTTGGCTATTTGCAAATATAGTCTGGCTTCTCAAATGTGAAGATCTGCTGCTTGTTTGTGTTTCATATTATTTTAATGTAATTATCTTATGGTTTTGGACAAGACGGTTGAAGATGTCACACTTATGCACTTTTTATTTTGTTTTACTAATAAAAAATTTGAAACCGTTTTAATATAAGAATATGTTAATATAACTCAGCCACTTATTCATTGTCTTATATTAGATTTACATGAACTCTTTCAGTTCTGAGATTTAAAATGTATCCAGTAGTAAACCCAAACAAGCAGACATTTACTAATATCTGTAGATCTGTGCATGTGTGCGCACCGCATGTTGGCGTGTGCATGTGCGCACATAGGTGCATGTGTGTATGTGAAAAATGAACTGGACCTACGAGCACTTTACTCACAGAAGCTGTATTCACATACAAACCACTCTCTCCTCACCATGCTGTTCCACTTACACTCTTGGAACACAAAGCCATATACACATACAGATAAACCTACAGACACACACACACATGCGCACCCACACACACAACTAACCACATGCACATGTTCATTCACTCTTAACTAATTCATTCAGGAACACTTTGGTTTGGGTTTCAACACCAAAACCTCTGTACCTTTGATTGAGAAATGTGTCTGACTGCAATTATATGGGAGGGTGGGAGGGGCAGATCGAGAGAGGATGCACACTACAGTGGTTTTGTAGTTTGCTGGCATGACATTTTTCTCCACATTTTTATTCTTTTCCTTTTTCCAGCGGAGGGGCAGAGTGTTGACAGGGCAGAAAAAGGGGCAGACCATAGTGGAAGTAACAGGAGGGAAAATGTGAAGAAAATGGATGGGCAATGGGACTGAAGTGGCCTAGATTGTCACTATTGTGGTTTTGATCAGTACCTCTCAAAGTAATTGCAATGCCAGCGAAATCTGTCGATAACACTTGTTGAGAAAGTAGTGATCGCCGCGGGCATGAGCCCCAGTTTGAGGCAGATATGAACACACGTTCAGGGATGGATCTGTGTGTAAGCAGTGTACTGCTAATACTTGGTTTTTACATTTCTCTAAATCAATATGTTGCTTTACACCTGCTGTCTGCTCTTGTGTGCTCGTCGGTCACTGACCTGCAGTATGTAGCCCCTGACATAGTCTCGGAGGGTCCAACCCAGGCCGTGCAGGATGTGCAGCACCTCTTCCTGCTTGAGCACAGAGAAGAGGCGGTCGAGAAGGATCTTGAGCCTGACGGGTACAGCCTGGGTGCCATACAGCATCAGGCTGCTGATGTCGAACACCACGTTGGACTGAACGATCTCCACCTGGGTCGGGTGGTAGAGGTGCTGGGTGCTGAGCTTGTCCAGAGCTGCGTGGTGACAAGAGTAGAAGGAAAAGAAAGTATGCACAAAGAGACAGACACCGTTAACTTTCTCTCTCATCTCCAATCTTACATTACAGGCTACTGCACAGTCAGCACCAGCTCTTACTAACATATGTATCAGATAAACACACTGACATTAATGTAATTATGTGCCATTCTTTCTTTTTAATCTAATCTCTTGCTCTTTCACATTTACACTGCACCTCCATTTTTATTTGCCTCCTCTGTCTCCATCTTAAACCCAAGCCTCATTACACGCTATTTTGTCTCTAACCTTTTTGTGACCCTGTGTGCATTTCTCATTGTATTTTTTTACATCTTATTTATTTGTAGATAAGCAGGTAAGGGCTCCAATTGTTTATGTGGCAAGAAGACAAATGGCAGCTTTGGTTTCTGGTGTACCCATCCTCTACTATATTTATCTATATTTATAATTACAAAATAACATTAAATGGGTTATCATATTGTACTTACAAACTATCACAAATGCACACTAGAACAGAGTGCAGTAGTAGTGGGTCCTAAATCCCAGAGCTGAGTTAGCATTTTCGCACTTCAGGTCAGTGGATTTCTTTTGGCAAAACGAGACTACGGAGGCTGTCTGGGATTTCATCATCACCACGCAGAACACGGAGACTCATCTACTGACCAGCCCACCTTTACAGCCTTGTTATTTTTAAACTCGCACACTTTCAGACTGTTCTAACTGCTATAGCCATGATCACTAGCTAGATCAGGTCACGCTAAGAGAAAGGAGTAGCTTTTTACTTCTGGCGATCATATTTGGGCTTCAAAAATCATAAAGTGGCATTCACTTGTGAAGGTTATCTTGAGCAAAAAAAAACGTGTAAGTGTCATAAACTGTTGTTTGCCACAGATCTTGTTGTCTGCAATAATCTAAAAGCCTATGGAAAAATCCCACTGGCTTTTTGTCGAGGGAACCAGGGTGATGCTAACCTCTGGGCTGGCCTACAAAAATACATTATCCCTACAGCACTCTGTTGAATGCTTGCCTAAATTCCTTAACTAATATATGATACTTTATGATAAATAGTGTTGTATTTCCACCTATTCACTAGAACGAGTACTGTTAATTACAGTCTTGTCTATTACTGGTGTTCAGAAGTTCATTGTTTCTAATGGAATATTAACTGAAAATAAAAACAAACATTGATTATAACATTTTAAAACCCAAAACACTTTGCAGAGAAGGTGAAAGAGCTCTTTTTTGGCCCTGAGTAATGTCTGCAGCTCCTTTTCAGCAGTAATAAGTTATAGTAGGGTAACCTGTATGTTGCCTGAGCAATGAAACACAGGCCAAAAAAAAAAAATCCATGGCTGCTCTGCTCATAATGCTTCATTTTGAGTGGGAGGTAGATGTTGTTATTGCCCTGTCTCTCACATCTCTTTCTCCTCTCTGACTATCTGGGTGACACCTGGTCAACTCTATCCCTCCCTCCTTGTCTTAATCCCTCTCTCTTCCCTTACCTCATACCTCTTACTCCCATTCTCCCTCCCCTCTTGGCCTGCCTGTCTGGGTGACACCTGGTTGGGTCTGTCTCTCTCTGATCCTGGGACAACTTTTCCCTGATGATGAGGGCTTTGCCTGACATACACAGCGCAGCCAGACACGAACATAATAAAAAATGAAGAACTACTTGTCAGAGTCCCTGCCAATGCCGACATGAAATGAAAAGTGGGAGAGAGGAGAGATGGGCGCCTGACAGTTCAGAGGGAGAGATTAAAAAATAGTCAGTGGGGTCCTGCGCGATCCACTGAAGGGCCCATGGCCTGCTCTTGTGCGGACACAAGCCAAACAGGTGTTTTCTTTTATCTTTTCCCCCTCCTTCTTCTCTTTGTACTTTCTTGCCTCCTCTCCTTCTTTCTTATGGCCACATAAAAAACTCAAGGTATAGTCCCTCACTTCTCAGTCTGTCTTATAGTTGTTGTTTTTTAAGTTGCAAAAATAAAACTGAAAGCAACAGAAAACTACAGAAGCAAAGAAAACTAGCTAATGTACTCCTATTGCATTCATCCAGTTTGTATCACTAATATTCTCTACACAGTAGAGACAGATATGTAGGGCAGGACCTCTTTTTTTGTTCCAAGCAAGAAGAAGCATTTTAATGAGAGTCAGACAAGTTCATATTTATTTACCCTCTATTTAATGAACCCATCATTCTAACAGTAAAGTGTTCTTACCGTGAGCTACCCAGCCATGTTTGCACTGGTCACATGTCCGTAGGTGAATCTTGCCTGGCTGGAAGCATTCGCACGTGCAGTTCACCAGTGTGCAGCGAATGGCCTATAGAAACACAGGATGATAAAATAAGAAGGAAACCCATGTCAATCAGAGCCCAGGTAAGGAGTGTTTCAAAAGAACAGTTATCAGCTTAGCAGTCAAAAATACAAAAAAAAAAAAAAAAAATGCAGTCAGACAAATTATTATACAGACTGTTGCGGAACAGCGGAGCCCTAAAGTTAAAGTTTATTCATATGTAACTATTTTGTCAACGTTTCAGTAAAAATGTGACAAATGTAATTTAGAGCATTCCTACAGCTGCAGCTATTGCCACAGAGAGTAACTCCTCCCCCTCCCCTCAATTTCCCAAATACTATGATTCATTCCAATGTGTGAAGCTATGTTTCCATACAGGTATTTCCCAGAGTTCATGTGAACAGACAAAGGACTTCCCTTCCTGAAAACACAGAAATGTAACTTGTTTTGACTGAGACTCCATTACTCAACACTGGAGCTGCACTTAGTGTGACCCCAGAAAGCTTTTAGTAGCAAGAGGTTAAGTATCCAGACTTGACGAGAGCAAGTCAGTACAGCACAGCGCATCACCTGCAGTGGCATACAACCTGACAAACGGCTTTTAAAAACTCTAACCAAAAATTCAGGTACATTTCACAGGAGGTCATTTGATCCTATAAGATGTCAAACAATCAAGAGATTGTACAGCATGCAGATAACGTATGATGTACACAGAAACTGAATGAATTCAGCTGCATCATCCAAGCGAGCACAGCAGCTGCAAGCTGTAAATTTTGGAATGACATAGAGAAACAAGCAGGCAGAATAAAAGGGCAAAAAGAGGAGTAAAAAGGGAAAAAAGAAAGTAGAAACATGAATCTTAAAAAGCATTAGCAGCCTTACATTGATGAATAAAGATACCAACACTGCTGCAGCCTAAACTGCCTAAAGGGAATCTGCAGCTGTAGGAAGACTGCAGCAGATTTTGCGGCTGATGTTAGGATACAATAACACTGTGCGTTAATAACTCGACATAATAAACAGCAGTTCCACCTGATGAGGATTATGTATTTTACATTTGGTGCATGTGTTGGACTATCTGTCAGAGACAAGAAGAGGAAGGATAAAGCAACAGTTTGTCCTCACTGTAGAGCCTTAATTATCAGCGCCTACATCTTTATGAATTTATAACCTGCACTGAATTTGCTTTGCCATATCGTCTCATTGTCATTCTTACAGTAATGTGACACTGACACATGTACACGCACACACGAGGTCGTAGGTTGGAGTCCATGTCTCCGCCAACAACCTAGCCTATATTTCACAATGTCAGAAACAGTCAGCACTTCCAGATCAAAAAGGATCTGCAGCACTTTACGTCACACAGCTGAGGTCAATGCATGATCAGTAATTCTTTATGTTCACAAAGGAAACTCACCACTTTTGACTCGAATGCACATCCAGGTATTTGAAAGCCACAAATGACATTATCTAGTCTGTGGATTACACCGATATTCTGTAATTCAGGATATAAAGCTTCACTCACTTATAATCTACTAAAGGCTATTAAATCTATCAGAATCCCTCCTTGCTCGCCTCAAGGTGTTGCAAACCAGATTAGTGCTGTACCTGGGGGTGTCAAAGTGAACGTGAGCTAATCCAAGATTAAACACAACATTGCACCTTTCTAACCATACGAACTCACTGTTTGACACCAAATGAGGCAGGAGACAGAGATTATTTGACTTCACATCGTTTGTAAGCTCTCCAGGTGCAGGCTTGCCAATCCTCGCAGTGTGTGAGGATTACACGCCAATATCAGTGGAGGTGTACATATGTTTAGTGCTGAGCTGACACTGTTATTCAGAGCAGTGTGCAATAAATGAGTTCAGTGTCCCTTCCCATTCAGACAGAAAGTCTGCCCTTTTGTCCTTAGGTGATTTTAAGAGAAAATACATCTGTGTTCATAAAGGTGCCATATGAAATCATTTTAAGTTATTTGTCCTAGTGCTATTTAAGTCATTTTCAAAGCAAAAACAGTAAAAGCTGACTCGATCCAGCATCTTAAATGCGAATAATCACGTCATACTTAACGGCCGACTTTTTCAATAGAAATGCACCGATTGCAATTTTCTTGGCTGATTTCGATTTCTGATTTTTTAAAATTTTTATTCTGACCTGCTGATTCTGATCTTCTTTCTTTGGAGTTGGAGACACTGCTCTTATACATGCATTTCATGAGCAGCCAATAATTCCCTTATTGTGTACTATGTGTCAGAGATTTGGACGTAGCTTTCCCTTCTCCAGGATGTCTCTGTAGGATCCTCTGTTCACTTTTTGTACACCAAGTGCTTCCATATAGACACGAGTGCAAGGCTCACTCGAGGTACATACAAGAAGATTTGCATTGCACATGCTACGTGTTTGATCAGTGCCGCCGTGTGCACAACGTGGACCGTTGTGTGGGTAAATATGACTGGGACAGACTGACAGGCCGGTCATTTGTCATGGTCAATCAGGCTAAAACTGGCCAATTCCGATTGCCAGCTGATCAACTTGGTGCATCTCTAGTTTTCACTATTTACTGACATTTCGTAGACTAGGAAAAGTCAATAATAGACAGCAATCATTAGTTGCTGCCATAATTATGTTGCACACTTCTTTGTCTGTCACACTACAATCAATTTTGAGTACCATTTTTAGGTTAATTGCATTGCAGACTTTGTCAGAGATCTTCCTGTTTATGTAACACTTCTTGCATTCAGATTTGTAGACTCCAATTTACAGTATCCAAATTTAGTACAGTCTAGTCACACAACACAACCATTCTCTAATTACCTCTCTGTGCCACAGCACTAACAGCAGCAGATGGAAATAAACAAATGGAAATATCAAATGCACCTCTGCTGTTTATGAGCCGGGGTCTGACGGCTGACAAGATAGTTAAGGGGCGTCTAATATGGCAATTAGAGTGTGCCACTGTCTGCAGGGCTGCTGCTGTGACAAGGAGCCCTCTAATCACTGACTTATTACGCTGGCTACCAGCACCTCTCATATTTGGCCCATTAAGCAGACAGCAGCATTAAGAAGCATTAAAGCAGCAAAGCGCCCTCAGCTGAGAAGGCACTGACAGGAGAAAAAGGAAGGGAGGGGACAGACTGTGCCTGTTATTTCTTTGGATTAATTTGTGCATTGTTCAACATCCAGTCAGGAATGTGTAAGAGAAGTGTAACAGAAGAGATGTTCGAGTTATGACGGCATCAGAAATGATCATACACAATAAGATGAAATATTACTGTCAGATTATGAAATTTTTTTTTAAGAGAGGCAGCGGACAGATGTGTCAGAGACGGCCATAATAAACAACAGCATCAAGGATGTGAGTTTGCCTGTGTGTCTTGTCAGAAGAAGAAAGACAAAGTCAAGACTTCTTCTCATTTTTCTCACGTACTTAAAACTACATCTGTGGCCAACGTGGATCCGAGTTGCATTTGGCCATGGTTTAACCTATGTCTGGCCTGGACTTGGTCAGGGACAAGCTTAGGCCTAGATCCCAGTGCTACACTTGCACATATTTGTCACAGCAGGTTAGGGGAGGAGGTTGTGTTATCTAAGGCCCAGCCAGATACACAGTATTAGTCACTGTGCTAGTGTCTCGCCAGGGTTTCCTCTTTGGTTTCCAACACCAAAAGGACAACAGTGAGAAAAAGGACAGAGGGGTTTGTGAGTGGGCCATAGTGCAACTTTGTAAATCCCTGTAAGCTGTTAGTAAGTGAAGAAAATCTCACAGTGCTGGAGCAATTAGACCCGGACAACAGTCAACACTCACAGCTGCCATGTTGCCGCTATGGTCAGCAGCTTAACCTAGCCACGTTCAGAAAGCATAAATTTCAGCCCTTATCTGGCTCAAGTGTGTGTGCGTCTCACTGCTGAGTTTTGTTTATCTAGAAGCTTGATGTTTCATGGATGTTTTGCTTGGCTCGCTGTCCCTGTCCCAGTCCAATTGTATAAACACTGACCGTCAGCAATGACCGGCATCAGACTAGGGAGGACTCTCAATTAAAAGACCGTTAGTCGGAGAGATGGACTGAAGAACTGCAGGAAAAAGGAGCTGCAAAGAGCAAGATGTCTTCAGCCTGGACCCTTGTAATCAGTTCCAAGAGGATTTCAAACAGACAGGAAGAAAAAGAAAGAGACAGGCCACATGGCCCAGAGTTGATGTTGATACATGCACCTCAGTCCGACCCTAAAACCAAGAGGCATATGTCGAGGTCAGCAAGAGATGCTGAATTGGCTTGTGCGTGTTGTGTGAAACCATAGAACTGATGGAAATACTAAACTAATATCCTGTACAACTTCATTATTTCCCTGTCATTTTTTTAAGGTAACTATATACTAGTTATACTATATAGTATAACTATATACTACAGAAAACACCACAAAAGCACCAGTTGCCTAGTCCCCTTCAGTCTAGCTGTGTCCTCTCCAGTGGTATACAATAGAAAGCCAACTCAGACAGACAGCTGCTGGATACAGGGCGGGTATTGTTCCTCCTACTTTAATTGAAACCTTTACCATGTTCAACACACAGCCACAAACCACATTTCTTGTTTGGTGAGTTAAGCAAAGCCGAGATTTAAATGAAAACCCTGTGTGTACGTGCGCATCTGTGTGCATATGTGCACCTCGTGTTTGCAGCAGCAGCAGCTTCGGATTTAAATTTGTCTCTGCTTAGGGTCACTGTAAAACACTGGAAGCATCTTGTCCTCTCTTCCACCCACAAGATATTATCTAATCCATGAGTTAGCTGCTGAAATGCTGTCAATTTCCTGCCAGAAATGTGCAGCCAACGTGTGTAGGAAAAGAGGCGCAGCAGCTTTGCGTGTCATAAAACGGGCCCTGGCTTTGTCAGATAGACCAGGACTTCACAATCTCCATATTGGAAACAGGTGACAAATAAAAAGCATGTTGAATAAAGAAAGTCTTTGTAGTTGGACACAGCACGCCACTAAATACAGGAGAACAGATACTTCATGCCAAGGCTAATT